CATAATTGTTTGATTCTATCCGGTATCAAACTTACAACAACTTAAGCAGAAGAAAATACGCGTTTATCGATGGCATTTAAAAAAGTTGAGATATCGCACCTGATCTTCCTATATACATAGCGATATTGATAAAATTATTGATTATCATTTCCAATTCGAAATTTTTAAAAAACCCAAAAAAATCCATACAAAAATCGATAAATATGTATGTGTACATGCCATACTGATTGTCCTCTGCAATAACGACACAATTCAAAATTCAAAAAATAAAAACTCTTACTACTGTTAGTGGCCCATGTCGCTAATCCTTGTCTAATCCTTCCTACTTACTTTAGTAAGAATTTTATTTTCGGAATTTTGAATTGTTTTGTTACAGCAGAGGACTATCGATCACGGTTGCCACATAACAAAAAATTTTCTGACCAAAATTTACACAAAAAGTTACCAAGTAAAATACAACGTTTTATTATACAATGAACTGTAAAAACAAACCTCGTTTACATATTTGCCATAAATAAGATATGGGTACAATAAATAGTTTTATTAAAAGAAAACTAAACAAATTCATTTTACATATCAGGCCATGAGGCCAGAAGAGCCTATCTTCAAAAAAAAATGGTGCGAAAATGCCTTTTCAATTACGATACCTTGCGCATGCAGAGAATACTGGCTTTACAAAGTGTCGAATCTCACACTTCTTCCTAATGACAACAACATTTTTTATAACAGTTTCTTTGCTCTCCTGAAAAGTACCCATTTTCACATTCGGTAGTTTGACATGGTAGCGACGATATGAGAAAGAAGGTTCTATAAAAAATAAATTTGGCCTTTTACTAATAATTTCATTTCACCTACGTAATTCTACATAAGGCGTGCCTCGGGCTATTACCGTTTCGATTCTGCTAATGCATTTTAAAGTGCACCTAAACTTTTTTTGAAACGTCAGTTAAGCTACTCTGGCGCTGAAGGCCTCATATAATAACTTTACATACGTATATAAATACATTTTTATTCAATCTGTGTATACATACAAATAAAGAAGAATATATGATTAGATTTCCAGGCTTCATCAATTGGACTTTAAGCCTCTCAACACAAGAACATGTAAATACTGACGCGATATATATTGAACATGTAGCATTCCATCAATATTTTGAAATCCGTCAATACGGATCTCGATCCAAATATCACAATAAATATAGAACGTGTGACAGGCGCTCTACACTGTGATAAATTAACGCGATACTTTTCTTCAAAATTTAGTTAGTTGTTTTTCCTGAGCGCTGTGTGGCCTGATCAATGCACTTGTTTCTGGCAGTGTTCTCACAGCTACACACAACCACAGTACAATTTATCAAATTGAATCCAACTTCTTTAGTCTGGCTTTATACATGGCAAACTTTTCAAAAGTTACCAAGTTAAAAAAAAGTTGCCAAGTTAACAAGCACTCAAAAAGTTACCTATTTTGGTCACAAGTGACCAAATGTGGCAACCGTGTTATCGATATGTACAATTGATCAATATCGATAGGAGTTTTTTTTTTTTTTTTTTAACAAATATGTATACACGAATGAAAAATAAAATCGATAACAACAATATCGATAAATTTCCTGATAGCGAGATCGATAAATATGAGTTGCCGTTGAAAATATGTATGTTCAGAATATGATATTAGATGCATATATTCATTTTCATGTCATATAGATAAAAGTATCGAAAATTACATCGAAACTCCGCCTTCATTTTAATTTTATATTTTTTGAGCCTATAAAAGTGTTAAAGGCGTTTCGGTAACGATATTGAAAAAAATATAGACAACGAACTCGATAAATAGACATAAATATATCGATAACATAATCGAAAAGTGTTTCGTAATCTATTTGCGATTTGTTTATTTGTCGGACCAATAACTATCGAAAACGATGAATATATCAATTCAAAATCGATTAATATGATTTACGATAAAAGCAACGTTCATTAATCTGGAATTTCCCGTAGTCGTGTATGTATATGTATTAATTTATGTGGGGTTAAAAATTTACTCATGACTTGCGTTGCCACCATAAATATTATAAAAGTTGAAACTATTTTTGTGTGATTCATTGAGTGATGATTTTATCACGTTGTGACATCCTGTACATCAGCTAATTATAATCGGAAGAATATAAGTGCCAATTTCACTAAGTAAACTAGACTTTACTTACGCTGGGGATTCACAAGATGTATGAACGAGTCATATTTTTATAATATCAGATATTTAATGACTGTTAAACATGCTTTGTTATTGTTGTGAACCACCAGAGAAGAAAATTCTTTTTGAGCCAGGCAAAAGTTATTTATATGGACCATATCGCGGACTGCTTCTTATTTAAGTATGTGAGCTAAATAGAATTCTTGCTCAAAAAAAATGGCTTGACATTGAAAGACAATACATATTTAAATATGTACATACATATATTTACGCAAATGTTCACAAAAACAATAAATTCAATAAATGTCAAAATTCATATTCTAGTCAATACATATTCCTTGTGTGGTTCAACTAGTTTTTTAAACTTTCGAATGCTACAAATTCTTATCGATTATTCACAGCAATATTTCTATGTATGTATGTATTTATGTACTCGTTAATATTTCCATATTTTCATAGTCAAAACCTGTTAACGAGGTATCGCCTTTGTTTTTGTCTTTTTTATGCGACCGGTGAAATGCCCATTTAGGCAGCAGCAGCCAGTAATGAGGAAACGAAATTCGAACCCACAAAAAACTGTTGGTTTTTCGCTTTTTTGGTTTTTAACCCATTCAACCTGCTACAAATATTTAAATAATTAAATGTTTATTTTATTGTTGGTTCGCTATTCGATTTCATTGGCGCACACTTGATTGTTATTTATGATTTTATTACCATTTTTTATAGCTTGGAATTTAATTGAGAGGGAAAAATTTTTATTTTTTTCGAAATTTAAATTCAGTCACATATGTAGGTACCAGCGCTTGTGTGATGTGAACTATTTATTACGCATTTTTATCCTTCAACAATTTTATTTTAGTGCCTTTCTTTTTTGTTTTTCAATTACCAATCATCATCACTGTCAAGATCGGCTTATTTGGCATTTTGCACGTTCATAGCAGAACACATACATACATCCACACTCTCAAATAAATACGGAAAATATGAAAATTATTCGCAGCCAAGTGAATGTCAAATGTCGCGCTCATTCATTGAGTAAGTATTTGAAATTGAAGCTGTGCGCCTATGCGTCAACAACATTCCAAGAAATGCGCACACAAGTAGCTCCGTTGAAAACAAGAAATTTTTGTTTATAAATATTATGTATGTATTTTGCATCTTAAAGATATTTGCATATATAAATAACTATTTATGCTAATTGCTGACTAAGCCATATTTAGCCGTAATTGAAGTGGCGAGCCTTGTTCATTGAATGAATTGCCATTTAGTTCACACTTTTGAAAGTGTCTACATTGCACTAAAATAAGCAAAGATGGCAAACGTTGACAAAAATTTAGCCAGAAAACTATTGCCAAGGCGAATTTGCTCATTAAAAGACATTTGAATTTATTTTGGATGTGCGACTTTATTGAATAGGCGTCCGACTACAATCTGAATAATTTAAATATTTTCGAAGACACTTTAATCCGAGTTAAGATGAAATAATACCTGCTTGATTTTATTCCAGAGCTTAAATCGCTCAAATATTACTAATAATCGGCTTGTAAAGGCATTCGAATTTCTATTCTAATTTTCTGCAGCTCATTGAATGCTTCGTGAAAAGATCCAAATATTTAAAATCTTGGATTATTTTCTAAGTGACGACCACAGTAAAGCAAATACATACATATACACATATGTGCTTCTCTCAAAGAATCCAACTTAATGCCATCCCTAATTGGCTGGAAGCCATTGTTCAAAAATTCAGATTCTTTTTTATATATTCAACGGAGCTTAATAATGCTTTCGCACTTGCCTTGTTTAGTTTAAAATAAAATTTTTTGTTCATTTTCCTATCATCAATTTACTTTATTTGTATTGTATACTTTTGGTGTTTTTCTTTTTTCGCAACACCTTGAGCCAACAATATATGAACGAAAAATGACACTGATGATGGCACAACGCCGAAACCGGTTTGTCTCCGAGCCAAATTTGACAAGGGATGACGGAAATTCGTTCCAAAATGCATGAAGACTTTGTTTGGGAAATCCCCACTGCTTTTTTTTTTTACTATTTTTTATATTTACTGTTTCCTGACTTGCAATTTATAACCTTTTTTATCTAAAGACCCTACTCTACACTAAATGTTTATAGCAAATCGTAAAAAAAGAGCTTTTTAACTGTTGTCATATTTACATACATACCCATATTAAAACATAAATAAATGTCACATTGAATGAGTACATAAATTAGACTAATGCCAAGCGCTTTGATAGGATTTAATCGCATTAAGTAGCATTTAGAGCTCGCATATTATATCAGGCGTCGAAATAAAAGGTGCAAAAGTAAAGCCTTTTACTACGGACCCGCACAGCCATAGAACATATGTACATATATTCTATACATAAATACATACATACATATGTACATGCGTACATATTCAACTTCATAAGTGTATAAATGTTCCTACACCGTCCGGCTTAAAATTCCAACGCTTTTTAGGTATGCCATGCAAATAGTAATTGCCACTACAAAAGTAGATACATAGATACTTTTGCCGAAGCGTGCCAACTGTTTTTTTACTACTACATACTATTTTTTGCAATACTTTATGTTAATTGAATTTATTGGTGCTTAAGCAGAAAAATGATTATTAAATCGAGAAGTATTTAGTGATGAAAAGAAAGAAACCAAAACGACACTCACTCGATTTCTATGTAGCTTTGTGTGAGCTTTAAATGCTTTTTAATGCTACTTTTTGCCTTCATGCTGGCTGTCTATCTTGTCCGCCAGCTTGTTTGCCATTCCGACCAGGTGACAATCTCTCTTGAACTTGGTGTGTGTGTGTGTGGCCTAAGCTTGTTGTTGCTAATTGCTGTTAGTTATCAAAGCTTGTTTGCCTCATTGATTGCCATTCAATCGATTTTTATTGCTTGTTTGCGATAGCTCCGCATTGCTGTGCAAATTTTATTGTCTTGATTGACAAGAGCGATTTACAATATACTATATAGTTTAATTTAAATTTATTTTAGCGCTGTCAATGGTGAACAATGATCGTTAGTGAGCTACTTACGTATAACAAAAAATAAAAACGTGATATACTGTGTAAGGTTCGTCTAAATGTTTTCGCTTTAATGATTGAGTTTAAAAAGTACTGAGAACATGAAATAATCTGTTAGTGCGCTGCTCCTTTTTTTGATTTGTAGCTGTTTTGCCTACAAACGGCAAATATTTTGATTAAAGAAAAGCAAACATAGTGCTTATTCCACAAATCGGTTTCCTCCTTAACATGACTTAAAAATCGACTTGAGCTTTCAAGAGTTTACTGAAGCTTTCAGGCTTTTACACAGGCCTTTGAGTTTTCGACAGAGCATTCACGTTTCTACGTGAGCTTTTTGCCCATGCTTTGGGTTTTCTTCGATAGCTTTGAAGTTTTCGCCCAAGCTTTTTCAGTACTTTTTCTAATCAAGTTGAAACCTATTTTGAAAGCCGAATAAAATATTCATTTAATCTATAAGAAATTCATTGCTCTATGATTTTTTTTGGGTACGTAAAAATTCCTGTTTAGTCTCACAATAGAGGGCATGTTATTTCATTTAATTTACAAACCTTCTACAACCTAAAGTATAACAAAAACACTTCAATAAATATGCACTCTAACGTTTAAAGTACAAGCTACAAGCGCTGCAGCTGAGTCAACAAAATTCTGACTGTAAAGTATACATACTTAATAATTATATAAGAATCTCATTAATGGTTTGAGGAAGCACTAACAGCTAAAGACGGGCGAGCAAGTGCTGCACTAGCGTTGTATGTATGTACATTAACATATATATATATATATATATATAGTATTTATTATGTACTCAAATAAATATTGAAGTATATTTCCACTGTGCAGTAATGATGCTTCATCCATACGCTACTTAAGTATCTTCCACACAGCATTTACATAAATATAAGTGCATTTACAAGCCAATTGAGAGATAGGAGATGTTTATAAACATATGCATTTTCGTATATGTAGTATGTATACATAAATACGTATGTATGCAAGTGCATACGCTGCGTGGCTTTCGTTAAGAAAATTTAATGAAATATTTTTAACGATTAACATCTTTGTTGGATCTGGATGTGAGGTTGTAGTGCATTGCTGCAGAGGCAATTAACAATGAAGACATAAGACATACGAAAGGAGCTTTGTAACATACATACTTATATATATATACAGGACTATCCGCTTAATTGCACTTCAAAAATTGCACAAATTTTGGTTCAATTAGCTTACCTGGCTAATAATCAATAAAGCGGAAAAAAATTAAAGCTATGCATATACCTTTCCGATGGATCGCATATATTTTTAACCAATTATGCGGCGAAACCAATTAACCGCTGCTGCATTTTCAAAAGTTTTTATGCAGCTGCATTTAATAATTTTGCTATCTTTGACCAACTTAGTACAATGCTTATTTATTAAACTCTTAATTATTTAGCTCGCTATGTGGTAGCTTCGATTTTTTAATTAAATTTATGCAGTCCAACTTGTGGCTACCTATAAAATATTTTTGCGGTTTTTCTATAATTAATATAAATTGTAGCCACTTGATTGCTGGAATTTTTTGGTGAGTTTAAAAAATTTCTTAGAAACCCTCGCTGTCGGCTGGTTAATTGCTTGCATTTTTTTTTTTTTAAATGCACGTTGTAATAATTTGAATCGCGGCATTTCTAGTAATTTTTTAATATTTTTTCTGTTTTGCATCCCAATTTGTAGTGCCACTTATGTTTATACATATGTAGATACAATCCTAAGAAAAAATCGGTTTGCAATACATCTTGTATATGTATATATGTGTACAGTGATTCAAACAAGTGACCACGTGTTGATTTTTTTTTTTTAATTCATAATGTTTGTGAGCTAATTTTTTTTTTTTTAATTTTCTATAAAAATACCGTCCAAGATTTAACCAAAACCATATAAATCACAGTTACAAAATTCAAGAAAATTCAAAAAATTTTCATCAAAAAATTCAACTTTTAAATCTGAATCTTTAGAACAGTTTTGGGGTATGCAATGGGATTTTTTAGCCGTTTGCAACTTGCGCTGCTCCAAAGACTCAGATTTAAAAGTTTAAATTTTGATAAAGATTTGTGAAATTTTCCTANTTTTTGGGTATGCAATGGGATTTTTTAGCCGTTTGCAACTTGCGCTGCTCCAAACACTCAGATTTAAAAGTTTAAATTTTGATAAAGATTTGTGAAATTTTCCTAAATTTTTTATAAAGTTTGAAATTGTGATTTATATCATTTTGGTTAAAGCTTGAATGGTATTTTTATAGGAAAATAACAAAAACCTTTAGCTCGAAAAACATTATAAACATTAAAAAAAATCAACGCGTGGTCACTTGTTTGAGTCACTGTATTAGAACTTAATTTTTATTTAGATAGATATGTTCATATACATATGTGAATACAAACAAAATTAAATTGATATGAATGCTTGCACGTAAATTTGCTTTGAAAGTATTTCCATCTGTTTATAATTTTTTTAATTATCAAAGCTACTTAAAAGCGTTATTAAATTATTTGTGGGTTTTGTGTGATGCAATTAACAACCGCAAGGTCAAATTAAATGGTTTTGTAATATTTTTCATATGCTTGTATTTATAACATTATAAAAAAAATTGAATGGCTCTATTAGAAGGAAAAACCGAAGTAACCGAAAGCTTTAACTTAAAATATTTAATTTCAATGACCGACCAGAGTTGCAAAATGTACAAGAAATATTACATGGCTACTGAAATGATTAATTTCTTACTTGCACACATTGGAACTTCTTTGTGATCGGATTCAAANTTTAATGGCTCTATTAGATGAAAAAACCAAAGTAACCGAAAGCTTTAACTTAAAATATTTAATTTCAATGACCGACCAGAGTTGCAAAATGTACAAGAAATATTACATGGCTACTGAAATCATTAATTTCTTACTTGCACACATTGGAACTTCTTTGTGATCGGATTCAAATTGACTTTCATATATGTATGTATGTATGTATTCAGCTTTAGGCGCACATTTTAGTATGTAGCATTAGTCCACTTACGTTCAAACACTATTAAAATTTAAAATTATTATGCTTCCTTAGTAGAACACATATGCCTATTTCGTAGAGAAGGCTAAAAGCTTATAAATTTTCTGTGTCCTAACTAGTTTTATCGATTATTTTATTTTTAATCAAATAATAAATTAANTTTAGGCGCACATTTTAGTATGTAGCATTAGTCCACTTACGTTTAAACACTATTAAAATCTAAAATTATTATGCTTCCTTAGTAGAACACATATGCCTATTTCGTAGAGAAGGCTAAAAGCTTATAAATTTTCTGTTTCCTAACTAGTTTTATCGATTATTTTATTTTTAATCAAATAATAAATTAAAATATTTTTGAATTGCAGAGAAGAAATAGAACTTTCCTTGACTTGAGCACAAAACAAACACAATGTATCTGACAGCTGTTAATCATTGAAGTGACTGAGTAAACGGGGTGATTAACGCACTAGCTTTGACTGAGATTATATATGTAGATATATGTGTAAACGGACTTTAATTTTATAAATTTCAGCAGCTATATTTAGTACTTTGGTAGAGACAATACCTTTTTCACGCATAGATTACTCCATTTTAAAATTGATATTTACTACTATTTTTTATTTTATTTTTTCTGCCATTTGCCTAAATGAGCTAAGTCATATGAATTACAAAAGTCACATAATCTTAAATTGAAGTCAAAAATTTCATTCATAAAAATGCACAGCACTGCGATACGGTTTAAGGTTATTTGCAGAAAAAAAATCAAAGCTGAATAAATATTAAAACCATTAAAAAAAAAATTTAAGTTGAAACAAAATTTAAGTTTTTTCAATGAATGAAAAATTCACGGATCTACGAAATAAAATTCCATTGACCAGACGTTTTTTGTAGTAGCTAAATCGCATTAATGAAAAACAAACTCTAAAAAAATAGCTATACAAGCGCTTAAGCTTCCAAAATGCAAAGAAATAAACAAAAATATTTGTAACGTCATTAACTTTTTAAGCGATTTCATCATTTCAGCGCAGACACAACGAACTTATGTAAATTTTTTAAAGCCAATAAATATTTGTCAAGTCGCTGAATCGGAGCAATCTGTTGTTGAGCGACAGCATTTTTGATTGGCTAAACGGCAAAATATTGATGGTTGCACTTTTATTCCATTTGGTTTTGAATTTGAATAAAAGCTCTTATTTTAATAACTTTTCTTTTTTGGTTTTTTCTATGGCTTTGTTTTTAGCAGCACATTTTAAATTTGGATTTTTTTTCGCATTTCATTGCATTTTTGTGAATTTTCATGCGCTATTGTGAAACTTTTTCGCGTCGAATTTCGCTATTGATATTATAATTTGCAAGTGCGAAATATTTAATAGGACCTACATATATTTATGTGAACATATGTATGTTTGTAGCTTAAAAAATGCAAACAGCTACTTTAGTGGCTTTTATTCTAAACAAAAATGCTTTCGCAAGCATTGAGCAACACTTAGGTACATATTTATATGCACACAATATTTCTAGCGTATTAATCTATTTCACCTTTAAAAGGCAAAGTTATTCTATAAATAATTGCAGTTTCTTAAGCTAATTGCTTATGCTGTATGTTTGTAATTTATTGACTTCTGTACACAATGGTAAATTAACATTAAATATCCGCAAATGTAAATTATGTCAAAGCATTGTGAATATTTATGTGCATAAATAAATTAAATATTTTCTTTTTATTTTACATGCATATGCACAGTGGCGAAAATATAAATAGGGAAGAGACATTTTGATAGTATTTGGCTATTTCCATTTCGTTTATTTATTGTTTATTATTTTTGTATGAAAGTGTAGTTCGTTTTCTAACAAAAACCATTTATGTATGTCAAATCTGGCGAAATTCGACAAAGTTTCATCAAAAATTTTTTTTTATTTAGCTTTGTTATTACACTGAAGTGCAAATTTTAAGTAGCCTAGGGCTTAACGTTGATTTTTTGCAATTGTTTTTGTGAAAGGTGTTGCTCATTTTCTTCATACAAAAACGCAAAGTCCTAGCTACATCAAACTGGTACTTTGTTGTACTAGAAAACTGCATATGTACCCGAAAAAATGCTAAAAAATTTCTTTGAAAAGTTTCAATTTTTGATTTGCATGGTTTTTTAAGATGGTAAGCTATATTTAAATTAAAAAATAATAAACATTCTTTTGACCAAACACAAATATCCAAAATTTTCTAAAATGTATCTTCCCTATTTATATTCTCGCCACCGTACCTATGTCCATAAGTCAAATGCTGGCACGTTCCATTTGCCAAATTAGTCGGCACTCCTCTGGCCGTGAGGGTAAAATGTTCACGTTTACATACATAGCCACATATGTATGTATGTACATATTTATATGCTGGTATTAATTGTTATAATTAAATTAGAATTATATCACTTTTTTACAGAATAGAAGGTTAGGTTAGGAATATTGCCCGTATAGTGCCTATTAGATCATTTACTATCCCGTATGAAGGTCTGAAGCTCCGATATTTTCATTTCCGCTATCTACCTCAAGCTTTTGAAAAAGCGTGATCCCAAATACTTGAGATTCCTTATCTGGCGTGCTGGGTATTGATATAGGAAGTGGTGGTTCGATTCCTCTCATCCTCTCCTGGACAATTTCTTCAGAGGCATATTGTCGGTATACGCCATCGATGGAGCATTGGTGCCCTGTAATGGCGCCAGTAAAATCCCTTACTACAGATTTGTTTAGTGTCAATAATTCTTTCTCGGCCATAAGGATCTTGAAAACTCACGATTGATCCGTAGATCATCTGTTACGACTGTCGTGCATTAGTTAACCCTCCTCAGGGGATCAGAAATCGGTAGTAGAAAGGAGTCATCTGCTTTGCTAATTACCGTTCGCCCTTTGGAGCATAGACCCGAGCCGACTCCTTTTCCCACCCTTAAGCCATCGGTGTAGATGTAAATACATTGATTTATCAACAGAAGGCCTTATTCATAATCTCCACAAGTTGAAAAATGTATGGGAATCTTAAGGCCAATCGGTGTCGACATCTAAGTCGGTCTTGATGACATTACGCCTTCCACTATTAATGTTATTCAAGACTGATGTGTGGGCGTAATTAGTCTGCATCCACAATTTCAATTCCCTTAGCCTAAGTGCCCTTTTGCGGCTGCACCTATCACACATCACAGAATAAAAATATATAAATTAAAATATATATAATTTTACCATTATTTTCTTGAGTTTTTTTTTTTTTGAGGTCCCTTACTCACAATCCATTTATTTGTTTTCATTGACTCATGAAAACCCATTTGCTGGATGGTTTTATCTCGCTACTATTTTTATATATGTACATACATACATATGTAATTTCCCACGAAAGCGCCAACTCCAGCATTAAGTAGATAGTAAAGTTTAATTATATATGAGTTAATATTATTAAATTCATATTATTTATTGTGGTGAACATCCTCTGGAGCTGCTATGAATAGCAATTTGTTGCGTCTTGCTTCAATTCACAAGCAGCCAAACAAGCGGCCAGCGAGATAAGCTAACATCGAGGTTATTATGCCGCTTTTGCTATGAACGCCTGGCGCTGAGATATCAAAATATCGACATACGCACATACATACATACCTACAAATGCACATGAATATATATTACACGCATGTTGAACGACTGACTGCATTCCGTGTCGATTAACTGACTGACTGACGGACTGACTGACTGGCTGAGTAATAAATGGCGGCGCATGCGAGTGACGTAGTCGGCAGATTGCAGCTCTGCATTTTGCATGAGTTGTTTTTTTTTACATATGTATGTAAGTATGTGTGCATGAATAAAAGTGTTATTTTATCTCTACTTTGTTTCTTATTTAACTGCTTAATAAGTCTCTGATTTTTATTCACTTCACTGCCATCCATTTGATTTATCTGTAAATTGCTGCGGACGCCAGCCAAACCGCTACGTGGCCATTTGTTCGTCACAAATATATTTATTGTATGCATTTCCTTAACCGCGCCATTCACTGCCAGCGGCTGATAAAGAAATTTTTTTTCTTACTGATTGCATTCAAACTAAATTCAATGGCTGATTAAGGGGAGAGGAACTGGAATGAGGCAAGTAAGTAAATAATTATATAAGAAATACTGAAGTATGCGCTTACAGTTTGTTGAACATTTTTTTTCTTCTCTTTCAAAATGTATGTATAAAATCTAGATTTTATCAAAATATTTGGTTGTTGTGTTCATTAAACAAAATTATTTGTATAAGAACACTACTTTTGTAGCAAAGGATTATTTGTACTGGCGGGTCTCAATAAATGGTGATAGGGTTGATATTTAATTAAAAATATGTTTTATCAAGATTTCAGGTGTTTTGTTAATGAAAAAGAAAAATATGGTTTGGTGAGAGCTCGAAGCAACGCACTGGTAAATTGCATTATTTCAAGTAATTTCAAAACTCATTCTGCTGGAAATCATTTATTTTATTTTTTTTTTTTTGCAAGGAAGAGTGTAAGTTTCAGCTAGGAAAACTGTTGAAATGAATTCAGTTTAAAAACAATTTTTTTTATTTTGCCCCATAAAATTATTGTATTTAATTATTTTTCCGTGTAATGTTGACTTAGCTTATTTTCCGTTCACTAAAAATCCAACAAGAGAAAATGCATAACGAAAATCATCATCAAATGCTATCAAAAACCTTGTGACTGTAGATTTAAAAAAGTCACCACTCAATGTTATTAAAATTCTTGATTATCACTTCACTTTCATTTCGGAATAAATAAAATCACTAAATATTTTTATTCACTATTTATTGTTATGGCATACAAAGTTGTATTACCCAGCCGATGGCCCACGTGGAGCGCACAAGCAGGCATTGTGTCGATTTCCTGTGCCCCAGTATATAAAATAAAAAAAAGAAAGAAAGTAGAAATTACTTTCAAATCTTTCCAATGCAACGTCATTCGTTTGTACTAATTTTAATTGTCAAATCGTATTCACATCAATTTAGAAGAAATTTATGCTACGCAATAAAAGAAATTTTGCTAGCTCACGCAGCTCACGTTCCGGTTTCACGCAATACTCACCTGTTTTGTAGCAGTTCCAGGAAATACAACTTTCGGCACGAAGGAGCAATTTTAAATAGCTAGCTACTCTTTTCTTTGCTCTTGTAGAAATACCTTCCATTTTTTTTCTATTTTGTAAATAGTTAATCCTGTGCGTTTACAGACAATAAGAAAATGCGCAAGAGTGGAAAAACAAATTCTATAGCATCGATAGCGAATTAATGATGATGATCATGAAAATGACAATGTCGTACAAATTTGAAAGCAGTATGCAACACAAAGCAGTCGAGAATGCGCAGGAAGGGTGGTTGGATGCGAACGACAAGTAGGCTTAGGCTGTTTGCACACGCAGCGCAACGTCAAACAAGTTTGTCCGGATCGTAGGTAGATGAATGAAACCAACTACCTACGGGCTATGAACTTTACTTGTGAGTACGGATGCAAGACGTTCTTTTGATGCTACACTTGCGTGTGCATGCAGCCTAAGAGAGTAACGCGCATTTATTTTGTTGAAGTGAGAACTGTGCTGGTACAACACAGCAGGTTGCCCGACAGGTAGCGAATATGTCGCAGTGCTGGTTAGCTGTATGTACATACTTCTAAACCTAAGAATTGTAGATTATTTTTTCTACACTTTTGTCATATCGATCTGAGAAATCTTGTTGACATTGTTTCTTTAACGAGCTGCTGTATGCGGTCAGCATTTTAACGCCAATTTCGATATTGTAGCTTTAATAGTAGGGCTTAAATCCATTGACCGTGTGCAGGACACACTAAACAGTTTTCGTTATTCTCTATAACTCTGCGTAAAGTTTTTTGTTTTTATAGCCACTTTGCGCATCTTTTGACGATCGCATTCTTGATACTTCCAAATGTTGGTTTCCTTTGGTTATTACTCGTCCTAATCGTCTTTTATCTGAACCATTTTGCGATGGACTTTTTTCGCGATTTTTTTATCTTCATTTTTTAACGCTCTCAAAATTCTAACTTTTTTGATATTTCACGTGGTATTTTATGCTATAGATGTGGGCACAGTCTAAAGGCTGGTTTTCACTATGTCAAATTCAATGGCATTTGTCGTCAAATAAATGAAAACACATTGCCAAATGGGATCAAAAAGCGGTTTATCGTTTGATTTGGACCAGGATAGGTTTTTAGACGTGCACATGCGCTACGAAATCTGCTATCTTTCAGTTTTTGGCCCATAATATCATTGGTAAAGGTATGGATAAAGGAGATAAAGTTGCGTCAAAATATGACGCCAAATTTTGGCGTCAAAATATGACATAGTGAAAACCAGTCTTAAGCGTTAAGAAGGCGACAATTTGCTTATCTATCGGAGCCATCAGAGATGAAGAATGCGCTTAGTACTTACACTGCTTTCATATTACTTTTTGGCGTATTTGTCGATTTTTTTTTTTTAATATACACATATCGATGGCTTTGTCGAAACTGTTTTCGATAAATTTATCGGTAGAGTTATTGGTACTTACAAGACTGGTTAGGTTATAATCGATATACTTACCTATAAATTTATCGATATCGTGTACGGTAAAAGTATCGTGCTCTTTATCTGCAAATTTATCGATATTATTTTGCAGAAAATGTCGTAATAGGTATTTACATAACTATTTAAGGGTATCTAAAATTATTTTTATTTAATTATCGTTGTCATGATTTTTCCAATTATTGATATATTTATCGATTATGTTTATGATGACATTAGCCGGTAGTGTCCTATTTAGTATAGTATGTAGATATCAAAGTCGATGTCATTGTTGAGATATTAATTTCTATCGCTGTTACCGACTTTCTAATTTGATTTTTCAAAAATCTATCGGTATCATTGTAATGTGTTCATCGCATATTGAACAATAACAACAACACATTTTTTTTCTTTGGGTTTCTGTTATCATGCTTAGATTCTCATTTCAAACATTAAAAAACACTTGAATTTTAATTTTTAGTTCTTAAAGTTTGCTTTTGTCTGTAAGTATAAGAAATACGAAAAATATTCACTTTTAGTCATTAATTTCTTGTTATTTTACATTTATATGTTATTGTTTATCACAAATCTTAAATAAAAAAAGACTCTGATATCCAGAGAAAACTTTTCTAATCGTAATTTAAAGTAAAATTATTTAAAAAAAAAATATATAAATTAGTGATTTTTCCAGAAAAATTGAAAAATTGCTCTAGTTTTTACAAAAGCAAACTTTGATCAAAAAATAATTTTTCCCCTTATATTTAGCGTAGGAGAAACTAAAATTTAACATGTAGAAGTCAGACCCAAAAATCGCGTAGACTGGTGTAATTCTTTATCTATAGCTATTTATCCATTAATATCAAGTTTATGTCTCAATATCATCGATTAATCGTATTTGTAAAACCCGCTGAGCTTTTACTTTGTAAAATATCNTGTGTTCATCGCATATTGAACAATAACAACAACACATTTGTTTTCTTTGGGTTTCTGTTATCATGCTTAGATTCTCATTTCAAACATTAAAAAAACACTTGAATTTAAATTTTTAGTTCTTAAAGTTTGCTTTTGTCTGTAAGTATAAGAAATACGAAAAATATTCACTTTTAGTCATTAATTTCTTGTTATTTTACATTTATATGTTATTGTTTATCACAAATCTTAAATAAAAAAAGACTCTGATATCCAGAGAAAACTTTTCTAATCGTAATTTAAAGTAAAATTATTTAAAAAAAAAATATATAAATTAGTGATTTTTCCAGAAAAATTGAAAAATTGCTCTAGTTTTTACAAAAGCAAACTTTGATCAAAAAATAATTTTTCCCCTTATATTTAGCGTAGGAGAAACTAAAATTTAACATGTAGAAGTCAGACCCAAAAATCGCGTAGACTGGTGTAATTCTTTATCTATAGCTATTTATCCATTAATATCAAGTTTATGTCTCAATATCATCGATTAATCGTATTTGTAAAACCCGCTGAGCTTTTACTTTGTAAAATATCTTTGTAAAATATCTTAAAAAATTATAACGCCGTGCGATAAAAACAAAAAAAAAAGTCAAAACGCACGAAGGAATCGGTATACTCTCGAGCCTATGGGCCAAATATACCGCTTTTAGTTTTTCACTCTGAAGTCAGAATTTTTTTCAAAGGACTTTGAAATTTTTAAGATATGATTAATTAAAAAAATCATTTAAAATCAGTACCAAATGAGAGAACAAATTCTGTAGAATTTAAAAACAATAAAGTTTTTTTGTTTTACAAGGACGAATAGATATTAAAAATGCGCTTTTAATAGATTTTATCTTTTTAAGTTAATAAATTTTGCAGGACGAAATTCGATGATAATGTCTTGCCTATATTAGTCCTCAAACAATATTTACAAAAAAAAGTTGAAAATTTTCAGGGATATTTAAGAACAAAATTTATTCTTTTATAATTCTAAAAAATGTTTTCTTTTATATGGATACCCTTGTTGTTATCCTACATTGCATCGAATTTTTTAAATAATTTTTTGAAATAACCTATTTTTTTAAATTCCAAAGTTCTTAAAAAAAAGTCCTGACGTCAGAGAGAAAAACTAAGTGCTATAATTTATCCATAGTTTCGCGAATATATTCATTTTTTTATGTGTAAAATTTACTGTCGCACGGTGTAATAGTAATTATGATGATCTGCTATTGAATTTCATATAAAGCAATTTTTAACATGAAATATTTTCTATTCGACATACAGACATATGTACACATTCTCAATTTTGAAAACTTTGCCAAAAATTTTTGTCTAAAGCTTTTATGACTAATATTTCCTCTCCCTCGTCATGGTTTCTGTAATGCATTTATAGTTGTCAATTGGATCACCACTTCTCTCTCTCTCTCTTCTCGCATCTAAATTTACTAAACACACATACTTATATATGTGTGGTCGACCTAAATCGAAAAACCTGAATTCGAGAAAAAACGATTTAAACATTTGGATTGTAATGTTAAACCAAAATATGTTCGTCTATAACTTTTTAAATAGCATAGCTGGCGAGATGGGGATTTCACAAATATATATGGAATATATCGTGTAGAATACGATAGCATATAGTGCCATTTTGATACCATATACCACAAATGAATATGCTAGAACCAACCGGCGTGATTGATGAAGTTGAGTATGTTGTGGAGACTTATATCAGATAGCTCTCGTAACGATGTGAACTCATATGCTCCTAGCATGGTATTTCTGCTCCTCATTAGAGCTGGTAGGTGTTCTACTATTTCCTGCTCGTTCTCATCACTGCAGCTTCTACAGAGTTCGTTGTAGGCGATTCCCAGCCTACTCGCTTGGGTACAGCATATATGTATAACATAATTCTTTCTTAAGTCGACTTAGGCGGTTATTGCTTATGACCACATACATATACATATATATCTATCTATACTCAGATTCCCCTTCTCCACTCATAAGTCGCAGTTGCCAAACAAACGCCCATTTAGAGCCATAACAAATTTGCTCTTTATTACCTATATTTATGTATTTATATTTGAAATTTATGCCGACAGTGCAAACAAAAGCCGGTCAACAAACACCCACACAGCCACTCACTCTCAGGCACAAGCATATCTGTACTTGTACAACCAGCAGAGTGTATATTTTGTACCTAAGCACATACCAAAAAAAAAAGAAAATATATAAGTACCCATAAACAATAGCCCGATAACTTGGCTTAAAGCATCGATAAGTATAATGGCAACCGAAGTAGGTAAAAAAACACGTGTAGAGATGAAAAAGTCGCATAAACTTAAGCAGGGAACACACGATTTGTAAATTTGTACAGGCATGAGCAAATAACACGAGTTGTTACATTTTGCGACAACAATGTGCTTTTGGTCGAAAATAGTGGCACACTTATCTTAGACAATGTATTATCTTCAGTTTTGCCTAAAGAACAAAATTCCATCACGAAATTGTGTTTACATTTAAACTTAAAAAAATATATACTAAAAAAACGTCAAAATAACAACTCGTTCTCATATACCCGTAATTGTGTCAGCTAACACGCTTATTCACACTTAAAAGTCATATTATTTAAAAGTAATTACATATTGGTATGGAATATTTTTCTACGGTATTCTTCACGAACATTGTATATGTATATTAATTTCTTTATGTACATACATATATGACAATTTCGGATTGAATTTCGAGTGTGCCAATAAAAATTTTAAAATTGGAATTTTTGTTTCGCAAATCATCGTCATTTTATAATCAATGCAATTTTCTTTAATTTGGTGGCACACTAATTTTATTACTCTACATTGGTCCTTTTTGGCAAAAAGAACATTTTCACCTTTTAATGTTGACATTTTTAAGTATCTTAAACTTATAAAGTGTAAAAATTGTTAAATGGCAATAATTACAAAATATCTGTGACAGATATTACCGCATGCTGCCAGTTTTTTTTTTTTTGTATTTGGTGGCACACTCTTTAAACTTCACAGATATACTGTATTTGATGCTAACTTTCATTGCCTCTAATATGAACATTCTATTTAAAAACTTCCCAAAGTTATTTAGAAAAGAATAATTATGATTTTTTCGAGTGAAAATGAAAAAATTATTAATTTCAGTACTTCTTCGCTTAAGTAAGTTCTAAGGCTAAAATTGTTCAAATACTTGCTTTATTTTTTATTGTAGTACTTGTTTCTGGAACTCTATGGATTGAAATAAATGCAAGAAGAATACTTTAGCCTTTTTTTCTGCCGAGAGAAGGAAGTGACACTAAAAAAGAGTAGTGGTTTTTCGGCATAAATTTCTAAACAACAACACTCTGTGACTGCCAAAATGTGCAAATCTGGACCAATGTACAAATCGTGTGATCCCTGCTTAACATACTACAATCATAGCTGCCTTTACCAAATGTCAAACCAAAATTTACGACTGCTTGCGCCATATATGTAAAGCACTATGACGGCTTTTGTTGTGCTCTATTCTTGTTTTATTTTTGACATTTGTTGTCTTTTCTGCGAAATCTATGGGATTTTGTTGGCAAGCGTAGCCATAATAAAAATGAACTCTAAATGTCAGCATTTGTATAAATCAAATCAAACTATTTGCGTTTTGCTTCGAAACAATGAAAGGAATTGAGGAAAAAATGCGGTAAAAAAGTTGTAGTAGAACACTGTTTTGGCATAGCGATTGTAGGTGGTGATGTTTTAGCAGCATACGTGGGAGCAGTGCAGCGTAAATATTAATGTTGTTGTTATTCTATAATGCCCACGTTGCATGAGTGATATGTATGATGAGGGCTACACAATTTCATGAGAATAATAAATGATAAAATAAACGCAAATGAAAGTTTCAAATGCGAATAGCTTATGAAAATGCAAGTGTTCATGTTAATCGGGAGCAATTCAGCGATAGTCTGTGACATTAAACTGGTTAAGATTGAAATACTTATTATAAAGTCACGTTTAGCTGGTGATTAAGTGGTTCAGTGGTTCGCTGATTGAGGTTTTTTTTTGAAATTTTTTATTATGGATTTTTATGTTGTGCTATATCATGCCATGTTATGCTGTGCTATGTTATGTTATGATGTGCTATATTATGTTTTGCTGTGCTATGTTATGTTATGCTGTGTTATGTTATGCTATGCCATGTTATTTTGAGCAGCTTTAAAATTTTATTTGTGTTTGTTTTAGAAAAAAAATCAAGTATGCTACTTAAAGTGCCAGTTTCAGGGGTTAAGAAATCGCTTTAAAACTTTTCCATACAAAAATCTTCGATATTTTTTTCTATCGAAGAAAATAATAACGCAACACGAATTGTTTTTTTTTTGTATGAAAGAAAATAATAACACCACCCGCAAAAAAATTTAAAAAATTAAAGCGAATTCTTAGCCACTTCGAACTTGCACTGTCTTGAGCTAGAATTAATTGGGCTATAAAACTACATTCCTACATTTTTTTCTAAAGATTCCTAATAAAAAATTTTTTGTTATAAAATTTTGTTGATTTTTTTTTTTTTAATTTTCCTACAAAGTTTGAAATTTGCACTTTAATGTTTATATATATTGGGCTGTATTTTTATAAAAAAAATAAACGTTAAACTCATATAAGAAAATAAAAGATCGTGTCCCTATTATTCTCCAGATGACTATGCACATACATTAAAGTGGTTCAATTTTTGTATGGGGGAAAAAAATCCAATCTTGAAAACGGGGCAGCTCCTTAGTTTTTTCCTTTTAATATTTGTTATATCTACCAACTTTCAGTTTTCTGCTGCAACCAATACAGGGTGCTCAATGACCTTGAAATCCGCTACTGGATCGCTGTGAAACTGGCAAAAATATTGATGATTTTTATAAACAGGTAGCTTGTGATATTTTTTTTAGATAATTTATATTTATATTGTTTTATTACAAAAAGAGTTGTTAATTTTTTAATGGCTGTTTATACTGTTTATAAAAATCCCAGAATGCTTTTAATATTCATTTTTGGAATAAATTTATTCATTCCATGCACGCTTCGTGAGAAATTGTTTTCCATATCCACAGTCTGTCACCAAATTGTCGACCATCAATGCCTCTCACTTGTTTATTGTTTTTCCATCAGTGCTGCTGCTTATCATTAAGGGTTTAATATTGCAAAGTGACACTAGCGATTGGGCAAACAAAGCCAATCATACGCACGATTTACACTAGAAGACAAAATTAAAAAAAAAAAACACTATTCAGAAGTAAGTGAATACTTTTGGGTGCCAGTAAAAGTGCACAAGAGAAAGAAGTGTCAATAACGGAAAGTTCCAAAAAAAAAAACGAATATCTCAATCAAAGCTAACTAAAAAGTGCGCTTCTTAGTGCTCTTTCTCACCTTTTTTTCAAAAGCTCTGACAGCAGCATACGCAAAGGTGTGTGAATCGAAAAACAAGCATGTAAATAAATTTGCTGCTGTTGGCCAACTTGAAACTACACGCATAAAACATGTCACACCAAATGTGTGAAAGAAAAATGCAAGCGTACATATGTTAAACAGCAAAAATAGTGAACACACAAAAACTCGCCTTCACTTGTCAGTCAGTCAAGTTATCAGCTGCAGGGCCTACAAGTGTCACACAGTGTACAGCAGGCAGGACAGCAGCAGTGCCAACTAAAGCTTTATATGTACATACATACCTACATATAAATGAAAAATTGCAAAAAAATGTTGTAATGACTACAACTTCATAAATGTGCACTTGTGCGCAAAAAAGCGGTGATTGAAGCGATTTTTCAACTGAAAAAAAAAAAAATTAAGGTAGTGGCCACATTTTAAATCAGGAAATTCTCATTGCATTTTTTGCATTTTTGCTTTGCGCTCAATTAAATGGCAACTCGTTGCTTTCCGGCTTAAGCTTGCTGCAGTTTTTTTTTTTTTTTCACTTGGCAGCCACATGCAATATGAAAAGTAAAAGCAGAGCTATATGCTACACAGCTGTCAACTTGTCACTCTGCATACGAGCAGCACAACAAAACATTCAAACAGGCTGGCAGACGGACAACAGACAGGATGGGCTTTTGAGTCGTACATCTGGAATAGGGAGTAAACTTGGAACAACAGACTGCAGCTATACACGGGGAGCTTGTGGGAATTATACATATGTATGTATGTATGTATGTATGTATGTATGCATCTATGTATTTGTTTCGTCTGGTATGTTAATTTGTATGAAGGTTAAAATATTGGCTCAAACTTTGTTTTTGTTAAATTATGCCAGAAAAAATTAGAGCGAAGAGTTATGCAGTGCGAAGTTGCGTAAAAAAGATTGTTACTGCTTGTGTTTACAGACATAGTAACTACATAAAAGGACACCACTTACTAATGCATCGCTGCATGGAGGGTGCCTAGATGAAGTACAGACCTACTAAAGAAAAAAGTAGATTTTTAAATGGTTCAAAGTTATTTATTGCTGTCATACGCTTGAGAATGTTGTAAGCAAAAGCAATGCCCGCTTTGGTGGTTTGCTGAATTTTGATCAGTTTATGAACTTAAGAGCATGTGTACCTACATACATAATAGGGTGGTCGATTATTCGACTTTTTCCAAAACCGAAAAATTGCAAATTGAGAAAACCGGTTCTCGATTTTGAAATTAAGTACAAACTGGATAAAGCGGTTTTATTTCACACAGTTTTCATATAGTGGAAATGCTTATATTGGTAGGAAGTCAGGACCGAAAATAACAATATAACTACATATCAAAGCAAAATAAGTGT